AGTTTCAAGGGACAAAGGGAAGAGGTGATATTACTGTAGCTCAGAGTTCAAGGTCACTGGGGGAAGCTGGAGGCGACGGAGGCTGGGTTGGAGACTGGAAACCAGCAGAGTAGGAGATGGACGAGGAATGGAGGGGAAGGGAAAAACAGGTACAGGCAGGCACAGTCGGAAAACAGAGAGTTAAGCAAATAAGCTTTTCATTTTCATTTTCTCCTCCAGAGTAATGTTACACTAGGCAAATTGATTTACTGATATTTTTAAAGGGCACCAAGTTTAGTGCCTGGGAACTGCATTCAACCAACATCTTGTAAATAAATGAAATAACCAATTTAGTTCCACATACACTCCCATTAAGCCAAATTTACACACCCTTAGGATTATGAGAGAATCATCCACTGTCACTCTGAAGTTAATCAAAGTATAACGGAAGCATCACTGCCTTTTGCATTAGATTTAGACGGACGGCGGTGGGTGCTCTGTCAGTTGCATTGTTTTACTCAGAATTGTGAATAGTGAGTGGTATATTCTGATGATCTAGAAGTTGCCATTCTTCAAAGCAGATAATAAAGCCACACTTAGAAAACTGGACCCAGGAGGAGGTGGGAAGACACACAATTTCATCAGTAAGACCACCACCCAATTCCTCCATTCCTGTCCATGCTTCTGTGAAATGACAATGGAATATTGCAGACTAATTGTAAAGCACCGATTTGCTAGGCTTACGCCTTTTGAAGCATTGGGAGGATAATTATGTATGATGGGGTAAAAAATACTTATCCATCCATTTTTGACCAGGCAAAACAAAGCTTAATGTACACATGTGAGCATGTGTGTCTGCTTAATGGTACAAAGCAGTTTAGAAACTGCACTTCACCTACACCATGCCCTACTTTAATTTAAGCATCATAAAATCTCCCCATGGGCAGCCTCTGAAATGTCAGCCTTTTCTCACACACAGACTCGTTAATGATTAAATTGCCATTACTACCATCACATTTTCCTCTAGTTTATGCCATTAAGACATGGTTTTGTCTCATTTTGGCTTATTACTCTGATATTAAATACATTAATATATTTTAAAAATTAGATGACCTTTAGCATAGAATGAAGTATTATGGCATTTGCTTAATAGAAACCAGGAAGGGATGTCAGAGCCATCTCTGTACCTCACACCTCATAGTTCACATGGTTTCGATGATAATAAAAAAATAAACAAAAGGAACAAAATTAAGTCTTTCACTGCCTGGCATCTCGCTAAAAGTACAAAATGTTGATAATATTTAGCCCCATTTTCTTTTCATGCAGGGAGAGAAGCACTTTAAGGAGAAATATCTGAATGTTTATCTTAAATTCTTTGTCTCAGACACACTTACCTAAAATTCAATGAAGCAGCAGCATGAACTGTCCAAAACCATCTATTTTTTCTTTGGAACGGCAGTTGACTATGGCATTTAAAGACTTCCCAAGCACTTCATCCAGGGAATGGTAAATCCTATTTATCTGCAACAAGAAAACATTTTAATTTACCTAAGCAACTCATACTTACACGTTTATTACAGAAACAGGAAGGCAGAATAGGCTTATCTAGAGTAAAAGGCATTTTATAAATTCTCTGATACACTAATAATGATTTGTAACACTCAACTTAGGGCCTTGGTTTTCACTCACTGTAAAAATATTTAGAAAAAGGGATATTTGTGCAAGAAGTCATTTTATACACGAGAATGGTGAGGCCTGGGCAGGGGTGGGTGATACGCAAGATCAAGCAGTTGGTTAGTAACAGACAGTGGCCTTGAATCCCGGGTTCTGGACCTAGGTTGATTAAAACTCCAGAAACAAAAAAGATGGAACCTCCTGTGTTTTCCAAGTAGGTAATTTTCTGGAATATTGTGTCACCACCATTTCTACTAAAGCCAAGGAAATTACAGTTGAGTCAATGTCCTGGACCAGCATTTCCTCTACCCGTTTAAGCTTGAGCAGTTGTAAGTAGATACAGACCTGAATTTATTTAATGATCCATATGATTTATGTTGTGTAGTAATAGCATAGATAGTAAATAGTTCAGAAAATTGCCTGTTAATGTTTCTTAATGAAGCTGAACAATTTTACAAGCTTTTGCCTTCTGAAAGGAGTCACATGTGAGAACTTAAAGAGATTGGCTCTAGATTGCACTTTCCAGTGATTTCCTGTCCCTCTAACCCAGCTCCCTGCTCACCACCTCCCACCACCTCCCACCGGCTAGTCTTTCTCATAATTCTCTCTTCCTCCTTCCCTTCCCCTTTCCTTCCTACTAACACACAGCCTGGCTGTTTACTATCCCAGCTGCTACATGGCTGGAAGCAGCAGGTATTTGAAGCTTAAGGACTCTCATGTTAAGATGAAGGGAAAAAGTGGGGAGCAGGGGAGATCACAGAAAATTAAGGGGAGAAGGCATCTGATGGCAGAAAGGGTAAAAAAGGGACAGAAGGAGCCTAGCTCTGCACCCTGAATTAAGGGTGTAGGTGCCCTCGGATTCCAGCTCCATCCCTGTGCTTTCCTTCCCCAACTGTTTTCTTTAACCCCAGGTTGTCTAAAATGATTACAATAATTATTTAGTTTTCATGGTTTCAGGATTCCTATGATTTTTAGATTCAAAGAGAAAATTCTATTCAATAATTCCCTCTGCCTTACCTAATCCAAGTTCTCAGATATATTCATTATTGCATGAGATTTATTTAACAGATAAAGAAATATTCATGACACTATTAAGCCTTGTTCTGCCACATTAGAATCCAAACATCTTTCCCTGTACTTAGATACTAGGTATATACATGTATTTGACATTATTTGAATTAAATGTATCATTAGCATAGTAGTATTTTCAGATATTTTTTGTTTTCTCAAAATATGTGCTACTAGTTAAAAAAAAATTAAGGTTCCGGTAAATTAGACATGCATCTGGGAATATGTTATATATAAAAAGATTAACCCCCCTCTCATGAATGTAGCTCTCCAAGCCATAGCATCAGAAAATAAATGGAAATCTTACACAATATTAAATGTACTTTTATTTAAGACCATATATAAATATGTATATATATATTTTACACAGGTAGATAAACGTATATCCAACTGTATCTGGCAATAAAGAGTCACTCAAGAAATCCTTTGGTAATGGCCTGGGGATATCTTAAGATGATGTTACTGATTGTTGCTCTTTTACCTGGCAATTTTGGGAAGGATGTTTTGCATTCAATTTTTTTCCTGGTCCCTGGGTCTGAGGGATCTGAGACAGGCTCAGATAGAGACACTGTGTTAAAGTCCCCCACAGAGTGGCTCAGGTTGTGCACCTTAACTAGGATCTATGACTCCAATAAAAGTTACAACTTGGATGACATCTTCATTGTAAACTGGCTTTAGTTTTTGCTATTCCTCCTTTGCCAAGAAGTGGCCCCATCCAGCCTGTTTCTCACAGGCAGTGATCAAAAGCAGTTGTCTGATCTACAGGCAGCTCCATCCTTACCCCTCTTGGCTTCTGTCCCCTGGAGCAGGCAGAACTGAATCGTATCCATAATTCTATTCACTCTCGAGCCTCCCAAACTGCCACTGAATTAAAAGCATCAATCCTACTCTCCTCTTGCTGCAGCCCACTGGACACTTGCAAAGCAAAATTCTCATGTGAACAATGGGTAGGAACAGAAATACCTTTCTCTCTAAATTCTTATTTAAATTCTCCATCAGCTATCACACTCTAGTTTGACTAATGTGTGGCTAGATATTAAAATTTAGTGTCAAGCTTCCTAAAGAGCTTTCCATCAGCGAAATGACCAGAGTGAATACCTTGCCATGGAGTGACACGAGAGAAAGAACCTTGTTAACTTGGAGTGCCATGTTTGAGGCATAGGAGTTGGATGGAAGTTGCAGGAGGCAGATTTTTGCTCAGTAAGAGAAGCCCCTTAATTTAGAATGCACCACCTAAGAAAAATAGTAATCTTCACACTAGCGGTGTCAACTTAAATACAGGCTGGATAATCATTTGTGGTGGTGGGATTTGGTCAAGCACAAGGATGGTGTAAGGAGTGACCCCCAACTGTGATTCTGTGGGAGCTGGCCAACTATTAGATTGGGGTGGAGTTAATATTCACATTTTTATTTACACTTATGTCTTTACTGGCCTTCCCATCTAATACAGCACTCCTCCCTCACTCTCTGTCGCCCTGATATTTTCTTCTGCATAGCACTTCCAGTATTTATATTTATTCATTGTACTGTACACTAGAATATAAGCTCCATGAAGGCAGGAACTTCATTCACTATTGTACCCCTGATGCTTAGAACAAAGCCTGACAAATAGCATGTCTGCAGTAACATTTATTGCATATCTATCTATCCATCCATCTATCTGTGTGTGTGTATGTCTTAGTCTTCTTTTCTTAAAAATATTTGATCTAATTTCCTTTCTTACCCCTATGAGTTTGCACCATACTGAAAATAATTGCATCACACTGAAAAAATGAAGAACCAGAGTAGGCGTTTTATCTCCTTTCATTGTTACAGGAGAAGAGAGCCTCAATGTTAAAAGGAAGAAAGAAGATGAAGCTCTGTAGTACTTCCCTAGTCTCTTTTTTAGTTACCCTTGGGAGAGTGCAGTGTGAGGAGCTAGCTTACTAGATTTCAGAGGTTAGGATGGAGGCCACTTTTGTGAACCAGCTGCAGGCATGCAAAGGGCGCTCCATAGAAATACAAAGGTTCAGAGCCACGCTGCATTCATAAACATATGAAATTTGGTTCTTTCCCGGTGCTTGACACTATCTTTGGCATGAGTTGTAGCAGCTCTTAAGGGAGTTTAGCTAAGAACGATTAAAGTCACCTGAAACTCAACTGCTTATTCAAATAATCCCAATACCTTAACTAGGTGCTGCTTTTTACGGGTGACTCTTTGGTGCCACTTTCACAAATGGCACACAAGGTTTTCACAGCAGTGCTGCAGTTGAGCTCAGGATTCTGGCTACCCCTCTTCGCAAACACAGCATCGGCCAGATCTTCAACCACAAAGAAGAGGCTGGAAAATGAAGAAAACCTACTTCTGTCTCTAAGCATCTTCTTAGGTCCCTGAAGCATCTTCTGGTGTTACAGAAAGAAGACTGAACTAGGATCAGAAGTCTGGGTTTCATGTCTCTCTCTTTTACTAACTAGCTGTGCAAGTCATTTCCTCTTAACTGTGTTTCTCATTAGCAAAATGAGGGTATTTGGTCTAGACCAATGTTTCTCAACAAGGGGTGCTGCCCTCCTCCCCCGGGACATTTGGCAATGTCTAGAGACATTTTCTATTTTGGAGGGAGGGTAGCTGCAACTGGCATCTAGTAAGACAGAGGTCAGGGATGCTGCTGGACATCCTATTATGCACAGGACAGCCCCTCACAAAAAATAATTATCCAGTCCCAAATGACAGTAGTGCCAGGCTAGAAACCCTGGTCTAGAAGGTTCACAGGTCCCATCCAGATCTCTGGGCTAATTCCTCTTCTGAAGTCTCCTCCAATTCTATAGGCCACACTGAACTCCTTCCAGCACCTTCCAGCTCTATTCTTAGGGCTACTCCTCCATATTTAGACTTCAGTGTTTCCACCCCACCCTTTGAGTTCCTTCATTGTAGCACATGTTACCATGTAAAATTACCACTTTAAGTGCAACTGGAGGGCAGGGACTATTTCAGTTATTTCTTCATCATCTTTAACACGCCATCTTTAATGATAATAATACTCACTAAATGTTTATTTGACTGATGGCAGAACAACTAGCAAACGAAGCGCAGTGTTTTCTCACTTGGTTCCTATATAGAATTGTGGCATAAATTTATGCAGATCATTTCACTGGATTATTAGTTATTGGCCTAAGGATGTCCAAGTGGCTTAAGAAGCTACAGGAAAGTGGATTTGGGGTTGTGGCCTTTGGATTAACTTCAGAATCACTCCAGAAAGAAGGATATTAGAGTCAGGGAGAGGACAGCTGGGAGATGGGACTTTCTGGATGCTTTAAAGCTCCAGAAAGTTCAGGGAAATTTGGGCACTCTCTCTGTTCCAAGGATTTGTTCTTGTTGTTGAAGAATTCTGCTTGAGAAGCAGGAAGGTCCTGGATGTCTGCACATATTTCCTATTAAGGTCATAGATTGTTACTTCTAGCTCTTAGGATAAAGAGGCTGTGGCACTGGGACAGTTTAGCTGTTCAGATCCAGTGTGGCCCCAGCACAGAAGGGAAAACTCACAAAATGCGGTGGGCCCCTCCCACCAGGGATTCTGGGCACCCAGGGAAGTGCTGTTGAGACTGGGTGCATCTGCTCCATGCTAGTCAGACACCTCATTTCTGTGAAGCTTTTATGTCTTTGGTCAAATAATTAGGCAAATTAATGTCAGAGGGAGTTAAGTAAAGTACATCTATAATTTCTTTCCACCAAATTATAGCCCAAGGATTGCAGAAACATGAGCTATACTTCACAATGCTACAAATTTAGGTACTTATACAGG